GCTACCATTTTTTTCCCTTGTGTGTGTAAAGCTGAAGTAAATATCTGTATGATATTATAATCCTAGTGACCTTAACTGACCTTTTTTTTACAAGGTGGGTCTGAGTAATTGTGTGGTTGTATTATTATATTTGGTGGGGTTGGTTGTTGGGTTTTAGATAAATGGTGGAGAATAACAGAGTTTGGTGTGGGGACTTTTGGGGGAAGCAATTACTGGCCGAAATTGAATATTTACAGAGGGAATGAGAAGTCACCCACCCGCCCTTGGAAGACTCACCCACAACTGTCACCCATTGAAGAGTTGCCTATGATTGTTATCCACCTGATGTGCCCAGTCACCCAGCTGATGTGCCCCAGTAGATGTATTGCTGCCCTGGTCTGTCATCCAGTGTAGTGGGTGTCTGTCTGCGTCACCCAGCCTCTGTGACCATCACCTGCGGACCGCCAGTTACCTGCAGTTGCAAGGGATGGGTGACCGCACCTGCTGTTGATGATCTGAAGTGACCTCACCTCACCTCGAGCAACTGACCATAGCCTGCCACTGCTGATGTTGGCTGCTGTGATGCTGCTGAGATGCTGTAGCCGTGCTGCGATGCTGTGGCCGTGCTGAGATGCTGTAGCCGTGCTGCGATGCTGTGGTCGTGCTGAGATGCTGTAGCCATGCTGCGATGCTGTGGCCGTGCTGAGATGCTGTAGCCATGCTGCGATGCTGTGGCCGTGCTGTGTGCTGCTGTGATATGGCCGTGCTGTGACGTTGAGATGCTGCGGCCGTGCTGTGATGTTGAGATACTGCAGCCGTGCTGTGATGCTGAGATGCTGGGACCGTGCTGTGATGCTGTAGCCATGCTGCGATGCTGTGGCCGGGCTGTGTGCTGCTGTGATACGGCTGTGCTGTGATGATGAATATGCTGTGGCCGTGCTGTGATGCTGCGATGCTACCTAGCTCAAGAGAAGGAGATGGCGGTGATATTGCAGTGGTGTGTGAGGGATTCTGGCTGGTGTGCCAGGACAGGAGAATCTACTATGAAGGAGTTGCCATCCTCGGAGATGTGGAAGGACGTGAGCTGCGGAGATGGACTCCAGCTGCTGGGACCAGCCTGCTTTCAAGGGCGGTATGGAGGTGTATCCTGCCTTGCTGGTCGACCTGTACAACCAGTATGCGGGGATGTCCTGCCAGCCATGAGAGACAATTGAGAGTGTGAGATGTCCCCAGCCTACTTTGACTTGCCAGAAGTGTTAGTGTTACCTGTGTGAAATAAGGTGACCTTGAATACGGTCCAGTGATTATGGCCGCCTTGTTTTATGAGGCCAGTGAAACCTAGTAATGGCATAGGATAATAGAGGGTCTTAGCTGCGATGCCTGCCCTGTTTCGATTTTCAGATGTTGTAGTGTGCATGTGAAGTGTGCTGAAAATGCGACCTTGGTGGTCATGAAGTGGTCCAGTTGCAGTTACTTGAAAGAATGCAACCCGTTGGAGCAGTTTTCCATGCCAAAGAAGCCTAGAGAGGTTTGGCCCAATGGTTAACGTGCGAGGGTGACTAGCATTGGCTAGTGCATTTCTAGTAGAAGTAGGGAAGGCACTGGAGCCCGATATTTAGTTTTAAGGAGAAATGACGGGTAAGGAGGCTTTGCACCAGAGAGCAACTATTATGCTGGTCAACTGCCAGGTGTACTGATTACGCTGCCTTGTGGTAGTTGAGAAGGTTGAGGGAAATATATGTAGTTGAATAATTTTGTATTATGTTATGTATAATTTTGTCTTTGTATTGTAATAGAATTAAGGGGTTAGGATTAAAATAGTCTAATAACTTAGGACAAATTGTCCTAGTTCTCAGATATTTTAAATTGAGGGAGAAAGGGGGATGTGATGTAGTTCAGCTGGGCTTGTGAGGTCTCTGAGGAGACCTAATTTAACCAATTATATGGTCACACCTTGCCTTGGCAAACGTCTGTCAGCCACACCCACGTCTGAGGTCTTTTGTTCTTGACGGCGTCAGACCTAGGCGTCAGGTCATACACGTGGTTGTGGGGGGTGCTCTCGGGACAATATAAGCCCAAGGAACAGCTGAGCAGAGGAGATTCGAGCGAAGCTCTGGCCTGTGAGCAGAGCTGAGCTGGAGAGTCTCGGGATGAGAGACTGTTGGAGACATTGGGCAGAGTACTGGCTTGGAGCAGTACTCGTGCTGTGTAGGTCTTGGGACCTGTGGCTTAGTTCCTGTAGTGAATTGTCCTCTGTACTATATTGTAAGTTACATTCATTTTCGTCAAGTTGATTGTGTTCCCTGTCTCACTGCTTATATGTACCCCCCGATTTGTCTAAACCACAATAATGTTCTCCTGTTCCCAAATATATTATTGTACAAAGACTTAATAATAAACTGTGTTTGAGTAGAATAGTAATATTCACTGTCCCCGTTATTTGCTATTTTATTCATTATTTTATTTCATGTAGTGAGAGGGTGAGTAGTGTGGTGAGTAATGAGAGGTGAAGGTGTAGTCACCAGTGACCTCACATTACCTACCAACCTCCACACTCGTCCCTCCTACTGCCTCGCCTGTCGCCTACCTACTGACTCCCTCTGCTTACCCCCATATTCCCCAATTATTCTTACGTTCCAATACCCCCCCTACATGACAATGGTGGTGGGTGGAGTAGTGATGGTGGTGGGTGGAGTAGTGATGGTGTGTGGGGTAGTGATGGTGGTGGGTGGAGTAGTGATGGTGGTGGGTGGATTAGTAATGGTGGGTGGAGTAGTGATGGTGGGTGGAGTAGTATGATGGTGGGTGTAGTAGTGATGATGGTGGGTGGAGTAGTGATGGTGGTGGGTGGAGTAGTGATGGTGGTGGGTGGAGTAGTGATGGTGGTGGGTGGAGTAGTGATGGTGGTGGGTGGGTAGTGATGGTGGTGGGTGGGTAGTGATGGTGGTGGGTGGGTAGTGATGGTGGTGGGTGGAGTAGTGATGGTGGTGGGTGGAGTAGTGATGGTGGTGGGTGGAGTAGTGATGGTGGTGGGTGGAGTAGTGATGGTGGTGGGTGTAGTAGTGATGGTGGTGGGTGGAGTAGTGATGGTGGTGGGTGTAGTGATGGTGGTGGGTGGAGTAGTGATGGTGGTGCTTGAAGTAGTGATGGTGGTGGGTGGAGTAGTGATGGTGGTGGGTGGCCTGCCGGTTTCCCTGAATCCCTTCATAAATGTTACCTTGCTCATACTCCAACAGCACGTCAAGTCCTAAAAACCACTTGTCTCCATTTCCTCCTGTCTAACGCGCTCATGCATGCTTGCTGGAAGTCCAAGTCCCTCGCACACAAAACCTCCTTTACCCCCTCCCTCCAGTCTTTCCTAGGCCGACCCCTGCTCTGCCTTCCCTCCACTACAGATTTATACACTCTTGAAGTCATTCTAACTCCTTCCACCCTCTCTACATGTCCAAAGCACCTCAACAACCTCAGTCCTCTGGATAATAGTTTTGGTAATCCCACACTTCCTCCTAATTTCCAAACTACAAAGTCTCTGCATTATATTCGCGCAACACATTGCCCTCAGACATGACATCTCCACTGCCTCCAGCTTCTCTTGTTGCAACATCCATCACCCATGCTTCACACCCATACAAAAGCCTTGGTATAACTATACTCTCAAACATTCCCTCTCTGCTTCAATGGACAAAGTTCTCCACAGACTCCTCAGTGCACCGCTCACCCTTTTCCCCTCATCAATTCTATGACTCACTTCATCCTTCATAGACCCATCCGCTGACACATCCACTCCTAAATATCTAAATACATTCACCTCCTCCATACTCTCTCCCTCCAATCTGATATCCAATATTTTGTCACCTAATTTTTTTGTTTTCCTCATCACCTTACTCTTTCCTATATTTACTTTTAATTTTCTTCTTTACATACCTTACCAACCTCTGAAAGTTTGCTTCAGATTCTCCCAAGAGCACAGTGTCATCAGCAAAGAGCAACTGTGACAACTCCCACTTTGTGTTAGATTCTTTATTTTTTAACCCCACAACTCTTGCCAACACCCGAGCATTCACTTCTCTTACTACCCCATCAATAAATATATTGAATAACCACGGTGACATCACACATCCTTGTCTAAGGTCTACTTTTACTGGGAAATAATCTCCCTCTCTCCTACATACTCTAACCCGAGTCTCACTATCCTCATAAAAATTCTTCAATATTTTCAGTAACCTACCTCCTATTCCATACATTTGCAACATCTGCCACATTGCCCCCCTATCCACCCTGTCATACACCTTTTCCAAATCCATAAATGCCACAAAAACCTCTTTACCCTTATCTAAATACTGTTCACTTTATGTTTCACTGTAAACACCTGGTCCACACACCCCTACCTTTCCTAAAGCCTCCTTGTTCATCTGCTATCCTATTCTCCGTCTTACTTTTAATTCTTTCAATTATAACTCTACCATACACTTTACCAGGTATACTCAACAGACTTATCCCCCTATAATTTTTGCACTCTCTTTTGTCCCCTTTGCCTTTATACAAAGGAACTATGCATGCTCTCTGCCAATCAATAGGTACCTTACCCTCTTCCATACATTTATTAAATAATAGCCCAACCACTCCAAAACTATATCCCCACCTGCTTTTAACATTTCTATCTTTATCTCATCAATCCCAGCTGCCTTACCCCCTTTCATTCTACCCACTACCTCACGAACTTTCCCCACACTCACACTGCCTCACGAACTTCCCCCACACTCACAACTGGCTCTTCCTCACTCCTACAAGATGTTATTCCTCCTTGACTTATACGCGAAATCACAGCTTCCGTATTATTACTATTATTATTATTACTATTATTATTACTATGATTATCATTATTATTATTATTATTATTATTATTATTATTATTACTATTATTATTACTATTATTATTATTACTATTAATTATTATTATTATTACTATTATTATTATTACAGTGTCATTGTTGACGACAACAACAGTGTGGCTGATGCACCTTGATGGCGACAGTGTCGCCATTGATGGTGTCAGTGGCGATGATGACGGACCCAGCAACGCCAGCGACACGATACCTGGACAGTTCTGCTGCTCCAGCCTTCAGGCTGCTGCCGCTGGGCTCCGGTTCAGGGTCCATCTTCACCTGGCGACAGAGAAATACACATTTGTCAGGGCTAGGGGCCCTTATTTCAGCATGATAGTGTACTCTGGAGTACAACACTGGGTGTTCAGCATGATAGTGTACTCTGGAGTACAACACTGGGTGTTCAGCATGATAGTGTACTCTGGAGTACAACACTGCGTGTTCAGCATGATAGTGTACTCTGGAGTACAACACTGCATGTTCAGCATGACACAATGTACTCTAGAGTACATTGGGTGTTCGTGCTGTAAGTCATGATGAAGATCATGTCCAGTAAACTTAAGATCAACTTAAGATCAATAAGACAATAACAGTGTAAGTAATTACGTGTATATATATATGGGCACATAGGTAAGTGGAATTTTGATGTGTAAATTTAGAAGTGTAATTTACAAGTTTACATTGAGTATAAGCATACTGAGTATTCTATTAGTTCATGCTATGTGGCTTTAACCCTGAAACTGTCCAAATGTAGATGTACGTTCATGTGTGCAATGCTCTGAACGTAGATCTACGTCCTTCTTATATTTGAAAGCATGTAAAATAATACGTACATCTATGTTCAGAGCACTATGCACGTCAACGTACATCTACGTTTGGAGCGCTATGCACGTAAACGTACATCTACATTTGGAGCGCTATGCATGCGAACGTACATCTACGTTTGGAGCGCTACGCATGCGAACGTACATCTACGTTTGGACAGTTTAAGGGTTAATAAGTTAGATAAATTACATATGTATTTATGATGGGCTGGGACAGGTTAAGGAGATAACATGTTTTTTACTGTACAGCAGACCCCCGCCTTACGATATTAATCTGTTCCTGAGAGCTCATCGTAAGGTGAAATTATCATTAGCCAAATTAATTTTCCCCATAAGAAATAATGGAAATCAAATTAATCCGTTCCTGAAACCCCAAAGTATGAAAAAAAAATTTTTTTACCACATGAAATATTAATTTTAATACACACAAACTGAAGAAGACATACACAATTACTACTCTACTAAGAATAGAATACATGACACTTACCTTTATTGAAGATCTGGTGATGAATGATGGGATGGGAGGAGGGGAGAGTGTGGAAGTTATTGTTTAGAAGGGGAATCCCCTTCCATTAGGACTTGAGGTAGCAAGTCCTTTTCCGGGGTTACTTCCCTTCTTCTTTTAATCCCACTAGGACCAGCTTGAGTCACTGGACCTCTGTCGCACAACACATCTGTCCATAGAGCTCTGTACCTCCCATTCCTGTAAGACTTTCCTAAAATAGGCTGTAACATTGTCATTGTACAGGTTGCCAACATGGCTTGCAGTAGCTGTGTCAGGGTGATTTTCATCCATAAAGGTTTGCAGTTCAACCCACTTTGCACAAAATTTCCTTAATCTCTTTTTTCAATTCCATACTAATTCTCGCCCTTTTTACCACAGGGATGGCACTAGAAGCTTTCTTGGGGTCCATGGTGACTTATTTTGCAGTTAAAAGCACTAAAAACACAGGGATAATGTGAAATGTACCGAATGTATGAGTAGATGCGACCGCACTGGCTGGCTTGTAAACACTGGCGCTGAGGCCACACATGGGACGCGTCCCGGACGAATCACGTAAGGCAAGTTTTTTATCGTGAGGCGAGGCAAAATTTTTGCGTTCAAATGCTTCGTATGGCGGATTTAATGTAATGCAAAGCGTTCGTAAAGCGGGGGGGTCCACCGTAGTTTTAAAAATGCTGAGTCAGTGGTTCTAGAGATTTCTGGCAGACAGCTCCAGATTTTGGGCCCTTTTATGTACATTCAGATTTTGAACAGATTTAGTCTGACACGGGGAATATCATAGAGGTTTTTGTGCATAGTATTATGTCTAATGATGCCAGGGACCTTCACATAGATATGAGGGACCCTCATATACATCTACACTGATGCCAGGGACCCTCACATAGATATGAGGGACCCTCATATACATCTACACTGATGCCAGGGACCCTCACATAGATATGAGGGACCCTCATATACATCTACACTGATGCCAGGGACCCTCACATAGATATGAGGGACCCTCATATACATCTATACTGATGCCAGGGACCCTCACATAGATATGAGGGACACTCATATACATCTATACTGATGCCAGGGACCCTCACATAGATATGAGGGACCCTCATATACATCTACACTGATGCCAGGGACCCTCACATAGATATGAGGGACCCTCATATACATCTATACTGATGCCAGGGACCTTCACATAGATATGAGGGACCCTCATATACATCTATACTGATGCCAGGGACCCTCAAGATATGAGGGACCCTCATATACATTATACTGATGCAGGACCTTCCATAGTATGATGGACCCTCATATACATCTATACTGATGCCAGGGACCTTCACATAGATATGAGGGACCCTCATATACATCTATACTAATGCCAAGGTCCTTCTATTTTAGTGTGAATAAATCTAGTGAGAGAAAGCTGGTAGGCCTACATATGAAAGAATGGGTCTATGTGGTCAGTGTGCGCAGTATAAAAAAAAATCCTGTAGCACACATTGCGTAATGAGAAAAAAAAAACTTTGACCGTGTTTTTGGAATAAAACAGTGACTTTGTGCTGTATTTTCGTATGTTATTTATTGTTGTATTCTAGTTTTCCTGGTCTCATTTTATAGAATGGAAGACATATTACAGAAATTGAGATGATTTTGACTGGTTTTACAAAGAAAAGTACCTTGAAATTGAGCGCAAAGTAGCAGAAATGTTCGATTTTTATCAAAGTTCAATAGTAAACAAATCATGCCAAGCGTCCAATACACGTCAACTGGTGAGTCTAATATTCTTTCACAAGTGCGCTGATATTATTTATACCATTTCTACACTAATGCAGTAGTCTGCATAACAGTAAATCTTCTATTTTTTGTAAGAATAAAAATTCAAAGTGGGAAGCCAAAGAAATATAAGAGGGACCTGGGAATGTGACTAACGAACAGAGAACTTGTTATTTTAGTTCCAGGAATGTCTTTTTTGTTTATTCTGGATCCTATTCGGAAATTGGCATCTTTTGAAATCTGTGTGAAATTGGCAAAATTGCTAAATTCTGACCACTTTATTAGATAGTTGAAATTGGTAAATGGGTGGTTTCTTGTACTCATTCGATAGAAAAATGGAGTTCTAGCGAAATAGTTATGATTTTTGTCGACTAGTACATTAGAATTGGCCGAAAATAGGGCTCAAAGTGGGCAAAACCACCGATGTGTAAACATCGTCGAGATCGCTAACTTCGCGAGAGCATACTTCCATAAGTTTTCCATCAAATTTCATACTTCTGGTGTCATTATGATCAGGAAAAGATTCTCTATCTTTTCATAAGAAAAAATAATTTTTTTTTTTGAAATTTGACCGACCCTGAGAACGAGTCTCGGAGAGAGCCTGTCGACCCTCAAAGGGTTAAGGAGGCCTGGGGAGGCCTGAGGACATGACTAATGAACAGAGGAAATGCTATTTTAGTACCAATAATGTCTACACTCTTTACTATAGACCTTTCTTAAAATTTTTGCCGATTTCTTGTACTCAATCAACAAAACGGAAGAAGCAACAATATAGTACTAAAATAGACCTCAAAGAGGGCAAAATCACTAACTTGTCCAAAATTTACCAAACTCCGACCACTTTATTGGATAGCTGATAACTGAGAAGGCGATTTCTTGTGCTCAATCCATAGAGCGGAAGCATTACCAGGGAAATAGCCAAGAATCCGGCAGAATTGAGTACCAGAATTGGCCTAAAATAGGCCTCGAAGTGGGCAAAATCGCTGGTTCCCAAGCCACGCTCCCAGATCACTAACTTTACACCAGTGTAATACTGCAAGTTTACAGTGACGGATAACAGTGAATGCTAACAGTGAATGCTAACAGCGATGGCTAACAGTGAAGGATACCAGTGAATGCTAACAGTGAAGGTTAACAGTGAATGCTAACAGTGAAGGTTAACAGTAAAAGTTAACAGTGAAGATTAACAGTGACAATAACAGAAATACTAACCTGCGGTGAAGACTTGCCCTTACGGGTCAACCTGGCGACCAGTTGCTCTGCTCGGTGAAGATACTGCGCTGTTTTGCGCTTCACTGCTTCCCTGCGACTCTTGTCACTGTCACCTGCAGTGAACAACCTCAATGTTACACAGTTGCTGATATTGTTACAAGACACTGTTACACTGCTGTTACAGTTACACTACTGCTACACTGCTGTTACTGTTACACTGTTGTTACTGTTACACTTGTTACTGTTACACTGCTGTTACTGTTAGACTGCTGTTACTGTTACACTGCTGTTACTGTTACACTGCTGTTACTGTTACACTGCTGTTACTATTACACTGCTGCTACTGTTACACTGTTTCTACTGTTACACTGCTGCTACTGTTACACTGCTGCTACTGTTACACTGCTGCTACTATTACACTGTTGGTACAGTTACAATGTTGCTACTGTTATGCTGCTGCTGCTGTTACTCTCCTGCTGTTACACTGTTCCTACTGTTACACTGCTGCTACTATTACACTGCTGCTACTGTTACACTGTTGCTACTGTTACACTGTTGCTACTGTTATGCTGCTGCTACTGTTACACTGTTGTTACTGTTGCTACTGTTATGCTGCTGCTACTGTTACTCTGCTGCTACTGTTACACTGCTGCTGTTACACTGTTGCTATTGTTACACTGTTGCTATTGTTACACTGTTGCTGTTACACTGTTGCTACTATTGTTACTGTTACACTACTGCTACTGCTACACTGCTGTTACTGTTACAATGTTGTTACTGTTACACTTCTGTTACCATTACACTGTTGCTATTACACTGCTGCTACTGTTACACTGTTTCTACTGTTACTCTCCTGCTACTGTTACACTGTTGCTGTTACACTGTTCCTACTGTTACACTGCTACTGTTACACTGCTGCTACTGTTACACTGCTGCTACTGTTACACTATTGCTACTGTTATGCTGCTGCTACTGTTACACTATTACTGTTGCTACTGTTACACTGCTGCTACTGCTACACTGTTGCTACTGTTATGATGCTGCTACTGTTACACTGTTGTTACTGTTGCTACTGTTACACTGTTGCTACTGTTACACTGTTGCTACTGTTATGCTGCTGCTACTGTTACACTGTTGCTACTGTTACACTGTTGCTACTGTTACACAGCTGCTACTGCTACACTGTTGCTACTGTTATGCTGCTGCTACTGTTGCTCTGCTGCTACTGTTACACTGTTGCTATTGTTACACTGTTGCTGTTACACTGTTGCTACTATTACACTACTGTTACCATTACACTACTGCTACTGCTACACTGTTGTTACTGTTACACTGTTGTTACTGTTACACTTCTGTTACTATTACACTGTTGCTACTATTACACTGCTGCTGTTACACTGTTTCTACTGTTACTCTCCTGCTACTGTTACACTGTTGCTGTTACACTGTTCCTACTGTTACACTACTGCTACTGTTTCACTGCTGCTACTGTTACACTGTTGCTACTGTTACACTGTTGCTGTTACACTGCTGCTGTAGTTACACTGTTGCTACTGTTACACTGTTGCTACGGTTACACTGCTGCTACTGTTACACTGCTGCTACTGTTACACTACTGCTACTGTTATGCTGCTGCTACTCTTACACTGTTGCTACTGTTACACTGTTGCTACTGTTACACTGCTGCTACTCTTACACTGTTGCTACTGTTACACTGCTACTACTGTTACACTGTTGGTACAGTTACAATGTTGCTACAGTGATAGTTAACACTGGCCAGTGTTAGTTAGCACTAGCTAGTGGTAGTTAACATCAGCTAGTGGCAGTTAACACTGGCCAGTGTTAGTTAACACTGGTGTTAGGTTAATTACCTTGTTTCAGCTGATCCTCTCGGCCATTGGCAGCTTAGTAACAAAGAAAATAGGCTGTGAAATTGTTAAAATAGGCTGAAGAATTAACAATAGGTACTGGAGGGTTGCTCCTGTTCCTTGGATCAAGAGGTCTTATGAATTATCATTATTATTATTATTAGTAGTAGTAGTATCCTAGGATAGGCCTAGCCTGCTCCTAGGCATACCTGTCAGTGGTCCCTGACAGCCTACCAGTGTCAGCATAGTTGCTGATCCACTGTGTATGTATATGTTATCTGAGTATCATAGTTAGTACCATCCATATGTTTTACATAGTTGACCCCTTTGCTAGGCTCAGTGGCTAGCATGTGTGACGTCACGTGATGCTGCATGTGAGCGTGAGATGCGCTGTCCCTTTCTCACTTCACGCGTAGACCTACAGGCAACAGGACAGGCTAGGCTGGGCTCCCCTCCTCACACTCTAATATAAGTTTTACCAACCAGCAAGTGTGCTTAACTCCAACCATCATATCTCCACGAATCCTCTCAACACCAGCTACACTGGCTGTTGTCCATGCAGGGGGTAGGCCTAACTTATTCCTTGATTAGTGAAGGCAGATCTGCCTTCACTAATCAATTTTTGGCCTTTCCATTGCCATATCTTGCATCTGTGTGGCAACCATGGCAACCACGATGCACACGACTGATGCCACCAGTGGCAAGAGAAACTTAAAGCGATCGATTCGTGGCGTTATAGAGAAAATTGAGGCTTTGGACGAGCTGGAAAGTGGCGGCGCCAGACCTTAAAGAAGTGCCAGTTTTTCCCTTAAAAAGAATGAGGGAAATATATATTTCTGTGCAATGAACAACCCAGGTGTTCATTGTGATCTGACAAGAACAACACATGGATAACAACAGCCTGATCAAACTGTGCAATTATTGATTTGAACAAACCAGAATAGTGAACCATTTACTTGTATCTTAATAAGGTCAACAAGGTAAGTTCTGTAGACAAGAGAGAGAGAGAGAGAGAGAGAGAGAGAGAGAGAGAGAGAGAGAGAGAGAGAGAGTGTGAGTGAGAGAGATGAGAGAGTGAGAGTGAGAGAGTGAGAGTGAGTGTGAGAGTGAGTGTGAGAGTGAGTGTGAGGGTGTGTGTGTTGGGGGGGGAAGAAGGCAGGGGTTAGTGATCAAGTCATGTCTGCAATCCAGACTAGAATTATCATGAGGAGTGCTAAACCCAGAGGGATTATACAGTGCCTGTGGAGGGGATGGAAGGTATTCAGTTTCAATTCAGGGACCTGGAGCACAGATCCAATTCCCTAGATCAAGAGCCTCTCACCAGCATCAAGGAACCTCCCTGGAAGGTCCCTATATCAATGGCCTCTCACCAGCATCAAGGAACCTCCCTGGAGGGTCCCTAGATCAAGGGCCCCTCACCAGCATCAAGGAACCTCCCTGGAGAGGAATCCAGACTAGAAATCTGCTGCCTCATTCCTAGTTACCTGAATTTCCACAGCTGTATCACACACGGAGACAGCTGCACTGTAGATCTCTGGTGGAGGTAATAGGATAGACCCCTACACAAGGCCCAAAAGTACAAAGACTGTGCATTCAATAATACATTTGAGGTACTTAGGGGGTGTTGGGGGTTGCTGTGGGCCATGTAACCTGTGATACCTGTACAAGTCAGGTGTAATCACCTGACTTGTACAGGTGAGGTATCTGTCATGAACCAGGCAGCAACAACAACAGCTGCTCCTATATCTTTGCCATCCCCTGGGCCTATCCAAACTCCAGTGATGGCCTAATTGCAAGTACTGTTGCAGCAACATATAAAGAACTTATAGTGACAAGACAAGTGATGGTGACGACAGTGAAATGGACCAAATGTGACCAAAAAAGGACGACCAGCATTCAAGTACTAGACCTGCTACCAGACACACAACCCGACAAGCGACGTTTTCCACTACACTGAAGTAACTGACCTCTTTCATCTGCACCAGTGTTCAATGGGAAGACAACACAGGAGAAAACCTAACAACAAAACTCCAAGTAAACTGACAGGTCTGTAGTGACGGTTTTTTCCCTCAGTGCCAAATGAGGGAAGAAAGTGAACATTTTAACATGGCTGACTGACACTGAAACACCAGCTGCTACCAGACGTACAACTAGCAAAGCGGCGTTCTCAACTATACTGACAGTAACTGACCATCATATCAGCTGCACCAGCGTTAATGGGTGGGAAACACAGGAAACATTGCCAAATCTACAAAACAAACTCCAAGAAAACTGTCGGGCTATAGCGGCGGTTCTTTCCCTCAGTGTCGAGTGCAGGAAGGATGTTTTCTCAACAGCTGACCTTCATAGTAACTGACCAGTGTACATTGAGAGGGAAACATAGGAGAAAATGCCAAATCTAATGATAAAACTCCAAGGAATCTGTCAGGTGGCAGTGGCCATTTTTTTCCCTCAGTGCTTTTAAAAATGGCTGAAACATCACCTCTATAATCAGAACCAGTCAACAACACAACACAGACCTGCTAAATGGGAATGATGAGGCTTTGGATGGATAACACCATTGTTTAAAACTTTATCCTGCTAGGATGGGAATAAGCTAGAAGTTTGATAGGTGAAGCCGGTCTGTGAAGTGAGTAGTGAAGGGGGTTCGTGAAGTAAGATAACAGGAAATCTACTAGTAATTAGTAGTGATAGCTAGAGTAGCTACTAGGCCATTGCTAGGTGATTGATAGCAATCAGTGGTTTCTTTTATTTAAAAAAAAAAAGGGAAGAAAACTTTTTGTTGTGAAGTAATAAAAAGAATGGCTGGAGTTAGAGGGATACAGGCTGCCATAATTATATTTATCTTTATCCTGCGAGTTAGAGGGATACAGGCTGCCATAATTATATTTATCTTTATCCTGCGAGTTAGAGGGATACAGACTGCCATAATTATATTTATCTTTATCCTGCGAGTTAGAGGGATACAGACTGCCATAATTATATTTATCTTTATCCTGCGAGTTAGAGGGATTACAGGCTGCCATAATTTATATTTATCTTTATCCTGCGAGTTAGAGGGATACAGGCTGCCATAATTATATTTATCTTTATCCTGCGAGTTAGAGGGATACAGACTGCCATAATTATATTTATCTTTATCCTGCGAGTTAGAGGGATACAGGCTGCCATAATTATATTTATCTTTATCCTGCGAGTTAGAGGGATACAGGCTGCCATAATTATATTTATCTTTATCCTGCGAG